AGGACAAAGTGAATTCGTTGGTTGGAGGATGGACAAGTAAGTGGACAATTATTATGCTTAAATGAACATTAAAACAGCCTTCTCCTAATGAAACTGCTAAGCTGTGAACTTCGTGAAATAAATGTTAATATCTTTATTGACAATTTACTAGTATTACCAAGAGACATTTAAGTTGTTGAATGCAATGCTTATTATTGTATTATTTAACGTTTTTAATGCTTATTACTGCATCAACAAATGTTAGCAGTGTCGTTAAACACTATTAAATAATGTATGAGGTAATACTTTAATTAACATGAAAAACATTAGTACATGATTAATAAATGTATTAGTTAGCTATTAGTTAATGCTTATTACTGCATTAAGTATGGTTAATTAATGTACACTTATTGTAAAGTGTTACCAAAAAAAATATACTATCACGTTATTTCTTATGGTAGATGTACTATAATTCTATAATACCCAAGAAGCTTTAGAACTGAAACATTGTACAAATTTGAATGTTTAGGATGAAGATTTTCTCATTGATAAAGAAACAATTTTATTCAATATGCCACCATCTAGGCATAAAAGTCCAGTATGTCACAAAACTGTGAAAATGTGTTTCAGTCATTTCTCTTTTAGAAGTGTTTCTGAAGATCAAGTTACATCTTGAGAGTTTCCTTGCTTTGTTTTAGTATATTGCCCCCTAACCTAGGCCAACTGTAGCAGTACAAAACTGCAGACTTATTTGAAGTTCTACTGCGACTGAAAAGGAAAGCTTAAACTGTATCAAATCCTTTTCAGAAAAACAGGAAGCCAAGTTTCCCATTGCAGCTAAACAGAGCTGGCCAACACTAAAACTAAATACACAACATGCAGGGTTTCAGCAGTCTCAGGACTATTGAACTATTTCCCTTACCCCAGAGGAAGTTTTATATTGCACTATCTGATCCCATAGCCTTCATTTTGCCTGTATAAGCATTCACCAACCTTTTTGCCTCCGATGTATCCTCCACTAGCACCAAAGCTCTTAGTGAATGTTCCCATCATGATGTCGACATCTTTGGAATCCAGGTCAAAGTAGTCCACCACTCCTCTGCCATTAGGCCCCAGGGCCCCGATACTATGGGCCTCATCGAGGTACAGGTAGGCCTTATAGCGTTTCTTCAGAGCAATTATCTCTGGCAGACGCACAATGGACCCCTCCATACTTCAGGAGAAAAAATGTGATATAAAATAAAATAAAAAAAAAACAACAAACAAAAATGTCCCATGTGTAGTAGTAACATGCTTAAGTTAACACGAGCAGTTAACCCTATTGACAGCTGCCTAACCTTTGCTTAGTGTATGTGTAAGCACTATTTTAGCTTCAAAAATGCCAGAGGATTATTAAATACAAAATTAATTAATTTTGCATTAGTAAATGCACTGATTACATCAGGCAGTTCTTCTAAGAACTATATTGATCAACACCATTGACTGCCTTTATAGTACGTACACTTAGATAACAAGGAATGCATTATGAGTAGGCACATATTACCATTATTTAAACAAAGTGAAATCAGGAGGGCTGCAGTCTGGTATTCACATTTTGTGAAAATGTCTCTGTACAATGTGTTTTTAGTTAGTAGGTGAGGTTTGTTCTTAATCTGTTTTACTATGAATTAGTTTGCTTCCACAGTGACAATGGGGCCATGTTCATATTATAAAAGCCTTTAAGATCTATGGCACACATTGTGACACTGTAGTGTCTTTAACACATTTGTGATGTATACATAGTTACTACTGGTATATACACTGTATCAGAAGAATATTATTCATTACTCTCTTAGTAAAGTGTTTTTAAATGCACAAATAAAGTGACAAATGTTCTGAAGTCAAGCTAAACAAATAGCAATAAGGCCTTACCCAAAAAACTGTGGGCATCAAGTAAATGGCAGCTGACTTTGTAATGTAGTACAGCTGTGGCCTCAAAAATACTTTTTAGGACTTTTCAGCTTTATTGCCCGTTTTAAACATTTGCTAGAAAAGTAACTGAGTGTAAAAGGTTATAGTTAGAAGTCATAGTTATTACACTTTAATGGTATAACCAGTAATCTGTAACCTATTACATTTAAAAGTAACCTTACCAACACTGTGAACATTTGTGAGAGAACAACGCACTTTGTGTATACCTGTATATGCCCTCGACCACAATGAGGATTTTCTTCCAGGGTCGGTGAGTTCTTGGCTGGCCGTGTACGATAGCATCTCTCAGCATCTTCTCTAGACTTTGCATGTCTATGATACAGGATTGAAGAATACAATTAACTTAAGTTTTGAATTACTTGTTAAACCACTGATATAACAAAAATACATTTCTAATCCAAAGAGAAAAGCTTTTATTAGCTAAAGATGGAATGTATTGCTAATAAGATAATAAGTAATTTGAGAACTTTTTAAATTAATGATGAGTATCAATATTTTATGCTTACAACCCTCGAGGCACTGACTGTTTCAGCCTGCAGACTGTGAGCTTGATTAATTCAGAATCTCTGGTGGCCACATGTATCACTGTGTGTTTGTGCGCACATGTGTTTGTCCCAGACCAAAAAACATAATCCCACCCCACCCAGTACTGTGTTTTTTTATATAGCAAAGTAAAAGAACTACACAAGTCAGTGAATAACTGTGGTAAAGACTATTTTTTGCAACATACACACACCCATGTAAAATGTATTTACTTTCATACTGGGTAAAGTAAACTATAGCCAATTACTCTTATAATGTAGAAGGATCTATTTTAACCACTTTAATCCTATGTGTTACTGCATGCTTTCATTGGGTGTACTTTAGGTCACATTTCTATCTAAAGGTTTTGTGTCTTTGGAGGTCACCCACTGTTGTGTTTGAAGACCCGGATTGTGGAGCCAGAGAGGCGAACACCCAGCACCAGCGATGCATGATTCAGCTCGTCACTCAGGATAAGACAGCCCTAAAACAAGAAAAAGTAATGATAATGTTGTTTTTTTTTTTGTTTTTTTTTAGATACCAAGAGTGGTAATTACTGATTAACCAGAACAGTCAAACACTACTCCTTCTTTGCTTGAAAAGTTCAGATACCCCATGATTTCCCCATGCTGGAATTTTAGTGTTGAACAATGACCATCTACCCCACACTGATTAGTCCCTGAAGTCACTGGAACACAGTCGTAGTAAGGCCAATAACCCAGGCTCATTCAGATTAAGCTGTTGACATGAACCTTTAATACTCTGTGACTAAGCACACGTGTTGCCATGAATATACGTACTAACACAATTACAGCATGTATGAATGCATTGTTCCCTCAAAAAAGTAGGAAAGCAGTCATGTAGGCACACTCTTCTTAAAATTCTATTAAAACTGTAAAAGCTTCAAGATTCCGATGAATATCCACATGCTTTCCCCATAAGCAAACAAAAGATATTTCAAGAGTGGGAATTTTTTATCATAAATATTGCAGGCACTTTAACTTTTAAACTCAACACACCCAAACATTCACATGGATCACAGTTTCCTCTGATCAATGAGTAAGAGAGCTTGTTACACAACACACAATTACTCCATGACATAAGGATGTGTGCTAGAAGAAAAATCACAAGGACAGTAACTCAAATCCTTTTACTGAGTCACTGGGAGGTTCCATCTACAGTTTTGTGTGCCACTTGTGTTTGGCAGGAAATGTGCTTCTAGACTCACAAGGTACACACGCCTGTGAGGGCAAAGTTCTACTTCCTGTTTAAGTGACATTGGCTAAGAAGAAGCTAGCAAGTAAGGACTGCTGTGTGTGTGTGTGTGTGTGTGTGTGTGTGTGTGAAAAATTATGTTGCGGTTTGAATAACAGTGGCTGAGCCTAATCAAGTATCAATCTTTAGTCTCCTGCACTCAAATTGTTTTGAAATCCTTGGATAACTTAAAAAAAATCTAAGGGACTAAAATTCCACACCTTTCCAGTGAGAACAGGAATGTTCATGGAGTTGGTTGCGAAGCCCATGCCAAAAGTCATTGCTGACTCAACACCCAAGAACCTGGCTACCAACTGCTCCAGCTCCTCATGGATATCCATGTTCCCTGGAAACAACATTATCTCAGTTTCACAACAACTCTCCATCAGTGCACTATAACTTTCAAATGTGTCTTATGGGACAACAGTTTAATAATATAAAAACATGACAAACTACACGATAACTGTCCAGGTCAAAGGGAGGCTGTAAAGGACTTCAAATCATCACATTATATCAGATTTCAAACTCGGTCATTCAGCCCATCAAAACCACGTGAGCCTGTCGTATGATGAAAGAGCAACAAAAGTGGGAGCGGTTGTTAAAGTAGGAAGTCCATTTGATTCACCATGAACTGAGTTTCATTTCTATAATAAAGCACTTCTAGATGATGACAAATTATGACAGCTTTATAGAAAGTAAATCCTGTGGTCAAAATAATTTTCTGACCCTTACCCATCTCACAGCGAGTGCTTCCCACTCCAACTCCATACTTTTGTGTGACCTCAATAGAAGCATCGACACACGCCCCAGTGTTCTCAGCAAAACCAAGGTAGTTGTATGACCCCAAGTTGATGACATCCTTCACCACTTTGCCTGTGTGCCTGAGAGACAGACATTAAGACAGAATTGGTACACTGAAAGTCGATTATATGCCAGTCATTTAAACTGCAATGATACTAAATTTATTTACACTACCACTGTCATCTGTATGTTTAGGGCTGCACTGTTAGCTGATGGTGTGTATTCAGTGCCATGTGACAGATGCATGTGATTTCAACACAGATGTGAATCGTGGCTTACATCACTCTTTTTATAAGAAATACAAAGTCAGAGACTCATAACGGGCAAAACAATGAATGTCCTGTTGAACTAACTATCAATGGTACAGAAACACACATCTCTAAGGAAGTAATCACCTTCATGAACGACACCTTGATTCTATATTAGCCCTGTGTACATACAGACACATTCTCACACACACAATGTGGCAATTTACTCAAAGGTCCAATTGTAGTTGTGGGAAACTCTGTCCACCAGATCTATCTTGGCACCAGGGACGCTACAGATGGGTCGGTTCCAGTTGTCTCGAATCCTCATGTATAAGTTCCTGGTGTAAAAGTTCTCAAAATCCTGATACAGTGGAACAAAGTCCTGCAAATGAAATGGGAAAGACAGACAGATAAGATTCATTCTGTTGTATATATGATAGACACTTAAGGGAGGCAAAACTGTGCAACTGAGACAGTGAATGTGACAGGAGGTGACTAAGACTCAGATATACAAAATAGAAAATATGAAACCTTTAAAGCAGCGCTATATTAAATACTAAGCTCTACCTAGCAACTTCTGTCTTCAAAACAAAACAGTATTAATGAAATAGTACATTAAGTATCTTAAATGTTTTTAAGTCTTGGAATCACTGGTCTGACTGAAGTGATGGCTTAAATGTTCGTCACTAAATTAATCTAAAATGACTTGGCATTCAGTTTGGCTGTAACCAGCATTTGGTTAAAACCAAACTTAATTCTGTTTTACCTTCTGTTCCTCTCTCTCCTGTGCCACATGGCACTTCTCAATATTCCAGTGGCGAAGGAAGTCTCGGAGGTAGCCAAAGATGGTGAGGATGCCGTAACCCATGTAGGTGAGCACAGCTACCAGGAGAGGAGTCTCCTCAAACGACTCCACAAAGGGCTTCTTGTACAGGCTAGAGCTGGGTGTGACATTTTGGTTCTGGAGGAAAATAAAGTAAAAGAAATTACAAGTGAAACTTAAAAATTTTAACCAAGCTTATATTGGAGTATAACCAAACACATTTTACTACCAAATCTTACCTAAAGGAGCAGAGCATAAATATTACCTAACTCATAACATTTTTTGTTCAAAGACATTCCAACAGATGATGGTTTCTCCTTGAAAAGGTAATGGTTCATCTATGCTCCAGTCAGTTTATTCATTCTACATACTACGCAGCTCAATAAACTGACAGCAAGCAGACCAGAACAGTCATGTTCAAGCTGAGGCACACACACCAGATGACAGCAGGGCTGATTTGGTCAAGTTGTGTTTTTCTTGCAAAGAGAATTATAAATCTAATAAAGGCGCCTTTAGCACATTTACTCATGGACCATGTCCAGGCCAGTGAGCAGTAAAATGGGCATCAATTCAGGGTTCTAATTCACTGAGTTTTATGAATAGCAATATTGATCTTGGATTATGGAGCAATATAAACTTGGTCACACATCAGAGGAGCTCCACAAAAACTCTAACATCATTTCAAGCTGGACTGTGGAGTGGCTGCCTACAAAACCGACATTAAACAAATGAGAGTAGTCACTCACTATAGGCTCACCACAACAGCTTAGCAACCACACTTCATGTGACCAGTCATGCTTCTCCAAGAAATACCTCTTAGCCAGGGAACAAGAGAGCACTGCAGTGCAGTATGCGTGTGTGTTTAAAGCTAGTCAACTGGTCCCTCTCTCCAAAGATCCTGAAAGACCAGCAGTCCAGTAGCAATGGCTTGTGAACTACATTCACATTAATGTACACTACTCAAAGAGACTGTTGCAAACTTATGTCAACCACAGCAGCTAAATACAGTTTTCTTGATGAAATATTTGCCTAATTTTGTCCACCTGTGAGACAGGCCTAAAGATTACAGCTGAACAGCACAGCAACTCTCCTGAGAATAGCATCCTAAAACACACTCTACAGAAATCTGCTGTTACACACAATGACTCTGTAGCTCAATATGATGATGATCATCATACACATAATGACAAAATCTTGTATATGGTCTATTTTTCCTGTTAGGCCTAAAACAAAGAAAATAAGAAAGCCCTCTCCCTGCTCATTCAATGCACAGCTCATTTTAGTGAGCAATTATTGATACTACCATACAAGCTCAAAGATCTTAGCAAGAGCATTTATTCCTACCTGCTGAAAAAAATGTCTGCCTTTAATAATTTCCCCTATATTCTCAATATAGGGATTATGCCTAGTTCACTAAGGAAAGATTGATTTTACACACTTTTCCATTCAATTCAATTGGAAAATGTGTACAATCTTTTGACTGGTAGTGTATATTATCGATATATGACAGAGACCCAGGCTTACTGTTAAATGTCTTAATGCCAGGCTTGTAATGTAAGGTGTTAACAGACTATGTGTATCTAACCCCAGTTTCAGTTGCCCTATCAAGAACTAGCAGAGCTCATATGACAACAGGATGACATGATGTCACTTTTTCAGTGTTGATATCAAATCTAGGTTGAGCATAATATTTGTACTGGCCCAAATAAAAACAATCAGCATACTGGCCTAGTTAATCTGAGAGATATAAATATCATTCACGGTAAAAATCGGAGTGTCTTACATTTGTTAGTGTGGTGGCTCTAAATATTTATATTCAGTATCAGAGGAGTTTACTTATACCAACTCCCTGTTTAACTAGGAATCAGACTAGTATCTTATAAAACTACTAGCAGTAATATGACCTGCAACTCTGACAGGATGGAAATAATATATGCATATGAATCTAACTGGTATAACAGCCATAGCCTCTGGACATAATTGTGTGAATCCACTATATGTTGAAAACAGCAGCCCTGCAGCTGAATGCTTGTGCAAGTCTGGATTGTGTGGTTCTCAAATGTCAGAGAGATGGAACTTTTTTTCCTCTTCTGTATTGAACCTAAACAACCAAAGAAAAACAAAGATATGCATGTGCCCCACATCCACCCCTACACACATAAAGTGTGTTTTGCTGTTTTTCATTCCTCCCTAAGAGGGACCACACCCTTTGCAGCCTTTGCAGGGGTGGCTAATTCCAGTCCTTGAGGGCTGCTGTCCTGCTTGTTTTCCAACTATCCCTGCCTGACCTGCTGTTGTTTACCTGGCTCAGGTGTGTTCAGCCAATCAGAAGCTAGAAGATACCATCTTAGATGAAAGTGGAGTGAGGGAAGATAAAGTGAATTGGTATCTTCAATCCTCTCCTGCTATAAGTGTTATGTGGAAGCAAGTCTGTCCTCCTCCCCCAGGGAATAGAGAGCTTCTCTGGTAATAACACAACAGGGCCCTGGACCCCCTCACACTATAGTCAATGTGGTGTTGTGTCAAAGTCTGTTCACTCCTTCGGGATAGTGTTTCCCACAACATGGCTGGAGCTACAGTTGGACTTAGGTTATGGGTAGGCATAGGAAAGATAACTGGTTAGACATAAGGTACCGCTGGGGTTAGGTTAAGCATCTCAGAAGAGGTGTAGTTTGCGAATACGGAAAGGGAAAACAGACTTTGACACAACACCAGTGTAACCTCAACAGACACACACAGAAACCTACAAACAGCACAGTGTTAGCTAGTCATCATAACAATCCTCCCTACTTAGGTGGCTAAACTAAATGTAAGTTATACAAAGGTAAAATACGTGTAGCTTTCATAGTACACATCACTGGTTACTAGCTAAATTACTAGCGTTTTAGACCAAAATGTCAATAATAACAATAATAAGTATTTCTAAAATATCGCAATTAAGCTGGAAATTGAACGTGGAAGGCAGTTACCTTGAAATATGTCGCATTAAGACAGATTGCTGTCAAGGACATAACGCTAGACTGAGACCTTCATACAATGGTAGCTAAGCTAAATATGCCAAACTAATGCTAGGTACATTCATGTTCTACACTTCCTGGTAATAAAACGCACTCCCTAGGTTGAACGCAATGTGAACCTGGGGAAAAATGAATGAACAACACTCTAACTAACGTTTATTTTAGACTAATTTTAGACTAACATTAGTTTAATACACACAGCATGTTTATTTATGGCCCTCCCCTGTCGAGCAGTTGACGGTTGTTCCTTACCTTCTCCACGGTGCGGCGATACTTATGTGGTTGTTGGAACAGGCAGTGGCTCTTCACGAAGCCATTTTTGCTCGATTTTTTTTCATTTATGGTCCGGTTACAGGCGTCTCCGTTTAGCAGCTTGTTCGCGGAGCTTTCCGTCATCTTTGTCAGTCGACTGCGGCTAGACATTTCACAATTAAAACTACCTCCAACTTGTATAATGTTATTCACGAAATCAGGTATGCGCAGCGGAACATGAATTAAACGCCTACTGTGCAACGTAATCACACGAGCCCGCCGGAAACCCCGCCCCTGAGTAGTTTCATTGGCCAATGCGGTTACTCCAATACAAAGATCGTCTATAAAAACCATTCATAACATAACCTCCTAACACCGAGAACACTAAAATCGTGTCCTTTAGTGACATGTTCAAATGTTCTGACGTGACTAATTGTGTATTTTGGGAGCTGGGTCTCCTGACCTTGGTATTTCCAAAATCAAGGCTATAGCTATGACTCTACAGCTATCCCTCTTGGGTGTGCATGCTACTGTGTATAAATAAAATTATTAAACATTATTAACAAATATTAACATTTCACTAGAAATTGTGTGATATATGCTCAACCTATAATACGGGGAGGCGACAGTGGTGCGGTGGGTAGAGCAGTCGTCACCAAGGTTGAAGGTTCGAATCCTGGTGCCTGCATTCCAAGTGTCCTTGGCTAAGACACTGAACGCCCCCCGCGGCCGCAGATGGCTGCCATTGGTTCTATACCAGAAACAAATTCCTTGTGTGTAACATACTACCAAAAAGGTGATTATCCTTATTCTTATTTCATCTTGGTGCATCTGCTTTTCTAATGCTACTTTACATTACCAATGCATTCAGCTTTTGAAACAGTACAACACATAACTGGGGTTTTCCATCCTTATTAAGAGTAAAATGTGAGCATGCCCCACCTGAAATAAATTTAAAATTTTATCATTCAACCATAATGTGATAATCATATTTATGGCATGTTAATGTTTGAACAGGGTGAGAGCTCCTACTCTTCTTCTCACTCTTTGGAAATATCCCATAGTAACCTTTGCCTAGGCGTCAGCTGAATACCCTTTTCAATGGGCGCTATTACTCACCTGTGCTCGGAAGATTCAAAACAAGAGTCAAGGCTATTCACAAGGTGATTGCTATAGGAACAAAGGAATGCAAGCAGGCTATACCAAAGCTCTATTAAGCAATCACTGAATTTACTTAAGAGTATTTCAGGTGGCACAAGTCAGCTTTGAAGTCTCCCACCCCTTCCCAAAACTCCATTAGGAGAAATACTATTATGGATATTTAGTATGCAATTACAACTAGAAGTGTGGTTTGATTAGGCTAAATGTTAAAACTGCTTGCCATAAAAGCCAGGTCTCTGCATAAAGTGAAGTAATAATCAGAAGCAGAAAACCACCACTGATGTTTACCCATTAGATTTACCATTCTTTATAGTTTGCATTTTGCTGAGTTTAACGAGTAGCTGTCTAAACCCTGCCCAGACCTTTCTGTTATTATACTGACATCCTCTCTTAGTGTGCCTAAACTGTGTACTGAAAATTGTATAATTAAGGGAAAAAAGTAATACTAGATTTAAATATTTTATTGTAAAAGGTGGCCAGGACAGTCCCATTTACCCATATTTATTAACACCTGCTCCTCAGTAAAAAAAAAAAAAAAAAAAAAAAAAAAAAAAAAGAATCATGAGAGTTAAATAATTAAATTGTTTTATATTATATCCTGAATATGGTTAAAACCAATATACTACTGTGCACACAGTAACAGAGACTAGTGTGCTAAAGTTCATGGCATAGCATGGAAAAAAAGTTGAAAAAACATAAATATGAAATAATAAAAAGCTATAAAGTTATTATAATCGACAAGAAATGTTTAATAAAAAAAAAAGACTGGCCCCCTCAAGGGTACCAGCAGGGGCTATGTCTATGATGTTACACTGTAACCTGTGAAATCTGTTAGGTGTCGCTGCACACGGAGGTGAGCCCACAGATTCTTGCGCTACCTACAATCTTCTTCGTGCTTGTTTATATTTCCTTTACAATCCGCCTTATCAAAATGGAAGATTACATTTACAAGCTGAGAAAATTCGGAAATCTGGACTTTCAAACATTTTTGACAGTCTGGACATTTTTGTCCAGAAGGATCTTCTTTATTGAAAACATTTGTTTTAATATTGGATTCGAACGGTAAAGGGGTTTGTAATAAATACCAGCTGACAAATGGATTTCGTGTACAAGTAAAAGGTAAGACCATAAACTTTTATTATTTCTAGTTAGAAATAAGCTCAATTTGAATAAATTTTAACCTCAAATTAAATATGGGTCACGTTTGTGTGAAAAATGCTGATATGAGATATAAAACATAACGCATAGTCTGTTAAACAATTTGTTAACGGTTCATTTGTATTTGTGAATCTGACTGAAAGAGTCAGTGCCTCACCATCTTCCAAACGGAGATGTAGCTAAGCTAGTTCGTAAGCTAACTAGCTAATGTTATCGATATTTACACCAAACATCTGTCTGGTACACCAAAATAATGTAATACACTACCGGAAAGCCAATAGTAACTAAGCTGGTGTGATGGAAATGCTAAATTCGCAAACTGCTGGACTTCTAATTTTTCACATGCCATGTCCAAAGCTGATGGTTCTGGTCTAGCATAGTCATGACCCTGAAGCAGAAAGCCTACGTCCATCTGTTCCTCCTCAATTTCCTCCGGCCGTTGCGTTCTCTCCCACACGGTTCGTCTACTTGCAGGCAGAGAGTAGTCATTCCAGGCAACACTAGAACGGCTCCTTTCAAACGCTGTCGTCCACCTTGAATTACATCTGTGGAGACGAAGTGTCTACTACATACTGTTGTCTTCTTAATTACAAGATTATCACGTCGTACATTACGGATCCATATTTTTATTAAGGCTTCATCCTTAGGGAAATGGTGAAAGCTTATGGCTGAATTGAACTTCCCTGACATCGCGCATTGAGGTACGCAGCAGAAAGCACTGTTTGGATGATCCCGCTTCTGGTATTTGTCTTGAAGAAGACCTTTATGATTTTTTTTTCCCATCTACGAACTAATCAAATAAAACGAGCTCAAAGAAGTGTTTCGCGTTACTACTGTTGTGTCACCCGCGTTCTGCGGAAATGCGCTGACCCGTTTTCCGGTTTGGTCACGTGCCGTTCCGCATAACCCCTATCCAAGGCAGTAACGTGGTACTACAGCAAAGTACAAAAAAAAAAAAAAAAAACAAGAAGAACACCAAGAGAGCACAACGAATGTAGCATAGGAACAAGAACGAACTAGCAAGTAAAGGAGAGGTGAGCCGGGTATAAGTAACCAATAGTCTAATCAAGTGCAGCTGGTGAGAAGGGAGTGAGGAACAGGTGTACGTGATCAGTCATCAGGGGTGAAGAGACAGAGTAAGAAAGGTGAGAGAGGCAAGTGCAGCCGAGCAAACCTGACAAAATCAGACATTTGAGCTGATCCCCATATGTAAACAACTCAATTTTCTATTTTATGGTATGTCAAAGGAATTTTAAATAATGCAATGATGTCACTGGAACATTTTAAGCAGTATTCTTTGCTTCAGCAAGGAGACAAGTCAGCATGAGCATTTCAGAGTTGTCTGAATAAGCTAAGTCTAAACAACACAATGTATAGTTGAAAGGGGAGTCCTGATAACACAACCCAGACACTAATCAAGCTGTAAAGTAGATTTAAACAGCATAATAGAAGTTGAGAGGGGTTACCCTGATAACCCCTTAGACACTAAACAAGCTGGCGCATACGTTTACCTTCACAGTTTATGGCTGGGCCTCTCTGTGTCTGAAACATCGTGTAGTTGAATGTATCATAGCACACAGAGTTAAATAAGAAAGATAAGACATGTCCCTCAGGTCACAATCAGTTTCTCACAGGTCTCTGTTCTGAAAGTTTAAAACACATTTAATAGCATATATTGATTAAAACACAGCAAACAAAATGTATAATAATGTAATTCTTATGATCTGGTACCTGAAAAGTGTTTAATCCTCTGTTAAACACATAATGTATTTATTGCATTGTCACCTGTGCTCTCGATTACTTCATGGTGCAGTACAGGGCAGGGAGCTACCAATGCAGATGGAGAGAGGGAGAAGATCTCTGCTGTGAGGGAACAATAATATGAGAGTTTCCTGGAGTCACAGCCAGGACTTTGTGGAGGACCTCCAGCTTCCTGTTCTTTTCCTGCTTAATAAATATTGTCTAGTAAAATGTCCCTGTCAGCACAAGCCCTTTTATGTTTGCATGTCCTAGATAAGGTATAATTGTTTGTATTGTGACCAGGACCATGCCCTCGTCTGTCACTATTTACATGTACCAGAGGATTATTTTCACATGGAAACAAATGCTGTGCAGGCTCTAAGAGAGTAACACAAACCTACTCCTACTTTCAACCTCCTAGATGGCACTGTTGGACTACACAAAGGTTGAGCCCTGTGTGGTAACAGGCCTACAGTCAGCAGTTGAGTTGTTCCTTCACACTCTTGAAACTGTTGTTTCATGAGTGTGACTAAAACATTAGTGATAACATCTGATGGTTTGATTCTCTTATCAATTTTCAAGGCTTTCTTTTTTGTTTCTTATCAAGGCTGTAACCTTAAGTGTGGAATAATGAAAGATTAGTCTGGTCAGCATCTTGCCAGTGTGCACAAAGGCAGTTAAGGCCCCATCTATTCCAAACTTGATAATGGTGATAGGGATCTAGCTTTAATAGGACCAGAGGGAGTGTTAAGATAAAATAGGGTCTGCTGATGTTGATACCGTTACTGCAAAGGACCTATAGCTGCCATTCCTTCTCATGAGACAGTTAAGATTATACTGGCTTTAAAATGAATAAGCAATTTTGAATGATCTGTTCTTGATGTAATCTCTAAAACCTCCTGCCAATGATTATGTTTTTGTTCTCAATCAAGCCATATGCAATAACAATAAAATATCACCAACACATACTTGGTAAAAAGCAACTGAATACTATATGCAGGCCCTTGTACCAGTGTCTGATCTCCAGGTCAAACTGGTACTGAAGTCTGAGCTAATCTCTGCTGTGAGTTTGGACAGTCTGATTATTTACCACCACAGGACCCATGAAAAAAGAAAACTAACACTTGTTATAATGTAGGACGAGAACGGCGCTAAGAGTGTGGGAGTGGCAAATGATTCAGCAGTTCTGAAAAGTTGTGGGAGTCTTGAGGGAATGTTAACAAGTTAGCTAACTACCTTGCTAGGCTAACACATTATCACTGTATAAAGTTGGTATGGCGAATGTGTTAGCAATCAATTCTCTCTATATATATCATATCCTTACACATAAGTGCTGATAATTAAATATAAGTTTGACTTTAAAGTTCTTTTGTGTAGGCCTGATAGCAAATTATTCTCCTGGTACCTTCTAGCATATGGTAGCATATGTCCCTGCATTTAATCCTTTAATTGGTCCTGTGAATCTATGGTAAACTGTGGGTGTTGTCAGTGTTTTCCTGGCTTCTTATTGCATCATAACTAAACATTAACTGTGAATGTGGCTATCCGGCCCAATTTGATGCACCAACATAATAATTACTATCTCCACTGACAAGATGACACATCACTGCTGATGCTCTTACAATATCATTCAAATGATAAATAATTTACTTTTCACCAAAGATGTATTCCCACTCTCTGTTGCAATTTTCCTGCTTTGATGTAATCTAAAAAAAATCATCAGGAGAATCAGTCTCTCCTACTATTCCCCTAACAGCCTATTAAGACCCAGCATTGCTTGAGAGGAAATCTAGGCAAGCAGCCATTTTTCATACTTCAGTGGCATCTAAATGTGGTAGATAACAAATAATAAAATCACAATAGTACACAAGTATAAATGAGTATAAACAAGCAAACTCATTGATAGGTATTACACTCATGCACAAACAGAGCAAGGCAAATCCCAATCAATGAGCCATTTCAGCGCTGCCAGATAACTTTTTCAATTCATGTTTCTAACAATCACACAAGGATAAAGTGTCAATTGGAGCATTGCATGTGACTTTGCAAATGGCAAGTTAACGGTGTAATAACAGAAACAAGTGCTATGTAGAGAATTATGATATGATACTAGTAGATAGTGCTTTCTTAAATCATCCATATATTAGCAAAATATCCACCTCTACCACCATGTTTCTACATATTCAAACCACACTTTCTAGTCCATCTCTGTCATCTGGCTGAGGTGTCAAAAAGTTCCTTTCACAGCAAATCCCAGAGCAGTGGATGTACATTCCCACCATGGCTGGGCGGGCCCTGCTGCTGGTGTGTAGCAGGTAGACTGCTTTCAGACTGACATGACCATTAGAGATTGTTACGCCTGTCTAAAACTTCCGTCCATAATAGATTATCCACCCAGGAATCTACCGAGGAGAGGACAGATTGTGTTCTCCAGGATTCACACAAGGCAGGTGGGACAGCCAGACTGACAGGTGAACCATTTTCCAGTGAACAGCAGACCCTGTCCAACTCTAGGCTGCTGGTATAATGATGTGGAACTAATGATAAGAAAGTAAGTGAGTGACAGAGGAAAGACAGGTTGCTCAGGTGTGAGCTGCTTGTGGTGAATGTCAGTTTGACAGACAGATTCAATTTACAGACTTTGTGCACAATTCACACTATGAATTAGTGACAGTACACATTGAAATAATTATATAGCTATGAGTAGGCCTGAAGATCAACAATGTTTTAATTACAATTATGCAGCAATGTTTTAATTACAAACTTATGTATACAGCTAAAGGTTAATGTAGACCATGTTTTTAACCCTGAATGTTCAGCATATTACTCTTTTTCAGAAATTATAGTCTACATGGATATTTTAAATAGGCCTAATACATGTTAAAGCAATATCAACAAAGTCATCTTGGGGGCAGAAAAACAAGCTGTAAACACAACACTGAAATCACATAAAGTTGATGACTAAAGTGTTAGCAGCTGTCTATATCCAGCACACACAGTCTCTTTAGCTACACAATGCTCCTATATGTTTTCTACCTAGTCAGTAATCTGCTGTTTGGTACCAAAAAGGCAGGTTACAGTAGATTTCACCACTGCTGTGTTTGGAAAAGGGTTCATAAGAGCAATGAGTCTGAAGCAAATCAATTAGCTTACAGGCAGTAAAACCAAAAGAAAACAATTAGCTAAAAGATGCTCTGATGAGCTGAAGGGAACCACATGGTGATAATATTCTGTAGATTTATCAAAATGAGCCTTTTCACATTACATTTGATTCATTGTTAAAATAAAAATTTTGACTAGTGCAGCTTTAAGTCAAGCTTTTACATTGCTTTTAACATTAGTTGAAAGCCAGTGATGTCAAAGCAGAAACTTTGCCTGTGACAGTTTATGGAAGACACCTGCTTTGCCATCACTATTTGGGTGTGGTCCCCAGTACAACATGCTTTAACATTTCAAATAGTAATGGCCTACATCTTTGCCCTTGTGATTTAGTCCACATATTCCTCTAAATGACTCATCTCTTCTTGTGGATAAGGAAGTGTTTATGGCAAGAGGATCACTGTTTTCTAGGAATGTAGGGGTATGGTTCTTTAATCAAAGAAAAGGCTGCCTTTGTTACAGCAGCAGTCTTCGGTACTGGAATAGAAGAGCAAATCTCATGGAGTGAGATAAGATCTTTCTCTGGCCACCATGTTCGACAGGTCAACAGCAACAGTGGGGACATTTATCACCAAACTTATTGCTTTGCTGGCAGTGAGGTGAGGAAGTAGAGGGAAATATCATAAAAGGCACCACAAAACAAACTAAGCTATCCTCCTTCCAGTCCAAAGTGTGGAAAGGTGCTGCAACAGCTCAATATTGTTTATTATTTCTGTATTTGTTTCCTTGTGGAGCAAAGATAAGGAACTATCCATCATGTCCTCTGTCTGTGACCTGAGGATTCCATTATGGCCCAACACAATATGCTCACCGTTTTCATTGAACAGCACACAAAAGCAATGCCAAGGAACCAATTTCCTCCTACCTCCATGAATAAGAATCTCATTCATCTTCCTCTGTGCACATTCATAAAGGCAGGCAAGAGCTGAGTGGAGACCCATTACCATGCTGTCCTCAACAATTCAACAATGGTCTGAATACAAAGAGAAGGCTAAAGGGAGCACACATTTCTGTTGTTTTGAGATGAGAACCCTGCTGAGATGAAAAGCAAGAATAGATTGTGCTGAGTTTTGTGTTTGAAATGTTCTCATTTTAAAATGCTGTTTGTTGTGTACTTTGCCCTGTTCATTTATGTGCTTCCAAATCCCCATAACAATCAAACCAGCGATTATTCAGTTGCCCTAAACTGGTACACGTCAGATTGATTTCTTCACACTGATGCTTACAGTAAACTCCTGCTGTCCTTACATCACCTCACATAGGCAGCAGAATGACTTTTCATTCAATATTTATTCATACACAGGATACACATTCTTGAGCATTTTACATCATTTGTTCTAAGTATGTGCAATATGTAAATGATAAAAAGAGTCATAACTGTATAGATAATAAAAAAGGCAGTACATCCATGTGAGAATCAGAAGGGTGAGGGAAAAGGAATGAAGAACAGATGGGCCTCTCAACACAATCAAGTTCTGTGTTAAATTACAACAGTTCCTTTTCTACCATGGAGTCATGGTTTTGTGTTGTTGTCAGCCTGTCTCCTCAGGTGCAAAGGGAAGACAAATTGTCCCGTGCTGGTCAAAATTTTGATGACTTTCTCCAACATCCCAATAAAATTCCAGCAAACAAGGCTTGGTTTTAGTATGAAAATAGTAATGAATATAAGCAACTTTAGCACAAGTACATCACTTCTGGATGTCTCAATATACAGTTTTATTTGGCTTGGATTCTTTCCAGTTCCAAGCTCCTCAAGATGCCATTTCACAGTACTAAGACATTTTTCTGATGCCAGTAAAAAACCAGCACTAAAGCATAACACGCAAGCCCAGAACACTGCATTAATACAAGAGGCCATAACTACAAACACTGCCCACTGAAGAAAACAAACCAAGAGTATATAACAACTGTCTGAGCCCTGTTCAGGCATGAGTGAAAGATAGTACTGTGCAGATTCGAGAGTCTGTTGGGCTATGTAATGCCATGTCAATTATTTTTAGAAACCTTCAAAAGTAAAACTGGCAGACTGCATAAATCATAATTAACTTTAATTAACAGAACTAGTTTTGTTCTAATAATTACAGTACCTAAATCTCAAAGCCCATTTCTTAAAATAAAAATTGGTCACCCTTTGGAATTGCTGGCTTCTCTGTATAGGCTTTTATTAATTTAATCATCTGTGTAAATGTGATCCATTACTCTGGAAATTATTAAAATTAGGAAAATCTATAAGCAAACTATAACAGTTACACAGCTAACAGACATCCCACAATACTGTAAAGGTTTCAATTAAGCCAATCAGAAACAGAATAAAGAAGCTGACAAGAAGAAAACACTGACTTCCAAATTTGTAAATACCATAAAAAATTGCTTATTGAATAAAATACACAGAGGGATACCAGTTACACACTATATGAAATTTATTCCATTGGTAGTAATGTACAAGAATTATAAAGCTGCTTTGTTTATATCACTTTACATATCTGCCATCAAACATAGGCTATAACTATGCTCCCAGCCACACCACACAGCTGACAAAAAGTCAAAGGGGATTAGGAATATGGGGTAAAAATATAACAAAGGTAAATATGAGCACTGCTGAGTTTGTTGGGTTTAGTCTTTATACATATAAAAAAAAAAAAACAACAACACTAACTTAAAAAAAATGAGACAATAACTAAAATCTACATATTTCCAGGGCAAATGTCCCAAATATTACCATCCACGTCTGAAATGCCATTGGCTGCACTGTGCAGAGATGTTTCCAGATGCAGAGGCTGAACTCACACATACAGCTGTAGGTTTAGCTCCACTTACTTTACATATTACACGTTAATTCATGTTGTATTCAGCATAAATGCTCAACATGTTCTGAATGGCGCCAAGTAAGCCACAAATGCGAAAACAGGAGGAAAAAGAGAGCGTCTTGCACCTTCTTTCAACTGAAAGACAACAAATCACCCGATCATTCTTGACAGAGACTTGAATAAACCACCTCTTATCAACTGTCTTGAATCGAATGGGTGCCCAGGCACCCTCACTCCTTCCTGCGCTTCTTGTCATGGTAGTCATCCTTTGAGCGGCTACTGGTGGAGGGCCTTTTGGAGCCACCGTGCTGCTTGGCTTGTTCCAAGAACTTGTCCAGACCAAAGGGATCCTCCTCAAACTGGACCGGTCCTTCCCGTCTCTGACCATGGTCGGCACCTGAGAACTCTTTGTCTGGAACAAACCTGGAGGTGGAAAGAGAAAAAAAATTACAATATGCTGCAAATGGCTAGTTTTCTCATACCTATTTGAAGGTAATGTAACTGTACTCGATAACAGTCTCTTGTTGTATTTGTTTCCTTCAGGTATCCTGAAAGCAGCAAAGAGCACAAATGACTGAAATTACAAAACTAACTGTTACATCTTGCTCTGAGTTGTAAACACAAACATTTTCTATGGACAGTACAACACGTCTGGATCCAAAATATCAGAGAATTTCATGGAACATATGTTTTTATGTCTCAGGGACATTTGCTTAAGTAATTTCTTTTTTATGTTTTGCATGATAGTGTAGCACCCTGCAGGCAGCCCGACATTCCTAGCAGACAATGACAAGCTGGTGACTAAACATATGGGACAGGCTATGCTCGGCTAGTAGAGTGTGGCACTGCTGCCCCAAGGATAAAGACTCCTGCTGGGACATCATGTGCATGCTTTGCCCGTGCCTAAAAAAAAAGAAGCTAGAATGACCTCAAATTGATTCAGGATATTGCTGTTTTTTAAATAATTATATCAGAGAAGGTTAAAAATTCAGCAGTTGTATTAGTAGCCCGATAAATATAAGAGCCCTAAATTAAAAGTTGTTTTCAAATCAGTAATGGCAACCACTGAGACTGGGATCCACTGTGGGTTGTCAATCACATCTTTTTTTTCATATGGATCAATATAAATAATTATCCATATACATAATTGATATCATTAATGAGTGAGGAACCCTGTGTGATGTGCGAGTACCACTGAATGTCAACTCTGTTAAAAAGAAAACTGCACAGGGAACATTTATTTGTATTTCAAGGAGTGTTTAAATAAATAATATACATACATTACTAGACAGAGAAGACCTTTACAGAGGAAGCTCACTGTCCCCATAATGCCAATCCACCTAAAAGCAATATTCCCATGAAAGTTTGACCCTCACTATACAACTCCTTAACCATGAAAACTCCTAGCACTGGAATTACACTGATATCATTATTAGTTTGAAAGGTATTCAAGACAAACGATGTTTCACTAATAGCAGTTTTCTTCAGGATCTAGCTCAGTAAGTTTTGAATACATTTGATCTGTTGACACCCTATTGAGTAAGCAGAGATTCAGCTAGAATTTGATCTTAGGTGTAAGTCTGCAGCATTATGTGTTTCTCATAGTAGCCAGTATTCCATGAGCCCTATAAATGTAAACATTCTGGATAAACAGATCTGGAGCATTAATTGGATCCAGATCATACTTTGTAATGTGGTACTATAGATTTTATGTGATTGTTATTGTGCAATTTCTGTCCAGTTAGAAGCAAAAATATTGAAATAGAAAATTCCTGGATCTGGATAATGAGCCAGATCAGCACCAAAATCTAATAGACTGTTTCATGGGCCACAGCCTACCTGTCCAAAAAATGTCATCAAAATCCATTCATGACATTTTGAGTTATGCTGTGAACAAACAAACACCAGTAAAAACATAACCTCATTCATGCCTGTGTAAGACCAAATGGCAGTAGTGGTGGCAAAATGTGGAATGTCTCCGAGCTGCTCTTCCACCTCTGCCCTGCAATCTGTGTAAATTCTCAAACGTTGCTAACCCACTTTATTTTGAGGTCATTAAATTGCACTTAACATTAACAATACACCCTAAACCACAGCTATAATGGTTCATGTCACATTTACCTCTGAGACGGCAAATCAGAGACAGACGTCACCATTACAATGATGTCCACCATAGAAAAACAAAATGAATCAATCCTAACCTTATTCGTGTAGTTTGAGTCATTCTGCCTTTTCAGAACTCACTGATTTAAAGAGGTATTTTATTTATAACTCTGTCATATATGCAGTTGTTTTCATGACTCTGAAGACCATTCACATGTGCATCAACCTTCCTTGTTCAAATCAGGCAAAAATGTGAACAGGGATGTAATCATGTAAATAATGGACAAATTAGTTAAATGTATGATATGATACTGAAAATAAAACAAACAAACTGATCCATAGTACCTGTTGTTGTGCATAATTGAGTCAAAGTCATCAGCGTAGGCATCCTTGTCTATATTCTTGCTGGGCCTGTAGATGTTTGAGGCCATGTCTCGGCCGCTGCGGAACGGCTGGTCGTACACATTGTATGTCTCATCCTCACCGCCAGCAAAACCACTATCCATACCCTGGAAAGACAGAAAAGGTGACAAATTAAAAAAAAAAAAAAAAAAATCTAAAATGAGCACAATAAATAAATAACTGAAATCACCTTTATTTGGCCAAGTATGTTACACACAAGGAATTTGTTTCCAGTACAGAACTGAGGCAGTCATCTGCAGCGTCAACTCAGCCGATGGCTATAACCATCGGGAGCAACTTGGGGGTTTCAGTGTCCCAAGGACACTTCGACATGTGGGCTGCAGGCACCGAGATTCGAACCTCTGAATGGGAGACGGCTGCTCTACTCACTAAACCACAGTTGCCCTTGTAGTGGCGCTACATACTCACTCTTATACATTTTTCTATTTTTGCCCATCAATGCAAATCATATAGGTTGATATGAATGTTGCTTAAGGTATATGTTCTAACCTTGCTCTGATTGAAGAGTCGCTGGTCGTACTGTGCCTCACTGGAGGAACGAGGATTGGGCATGCCCAGGGCGATGAGCTCACTGATATCCCTCTCTTGGTCTCTCTGCAGCTTCGACCTGAGACAAAGAACAACGTCTGCAATTTAGCAAGATTCCTCACAAAAACAAATGGCACAAAAGACAATGGGATGAGACTGGGGGGGGGCTGCTATATTAAGCTTATAGCAAGGAGAGTAGTTTCAAACTGTTGTGTTACAAAATATGTAGCCTAAATGCTTTATGTATACCTAAAGGTTTAACTCGAGTTCAATTCAGTACAAGAATTTTTACATTAAAGCTTTAATTTATGAAGAAATGTGCATTTAATAAAATGTTAATAAAACTTTTCCAGGCTGTCCTTCAGCAAACTGCCACCTCACAGTTAAAGAGCCCATTGTATGAGTCCCTTGTTTTCTGAGTTATCTACAAAAGGTGAAGCATCATCTTAGCTGTGACCTAAAGCTCAACAAATGAGGTGTTTGTATGTTCTAGTATTTCTATGCAGAAGCAATTTGGTTTATACAAGTCTCACAAATGCTTGCTTGTGACTTTTTTTTCTAACAAAATAAAGTATTGCGTGATAGTTTAAGGATTTCCTTGAATGGTCATAATCTCCAGGAAGTTCATGTGAACTTGCCTTAAATCCACCAGTGCCACTGTAAAAGCGGTATTTTTCGACTGTGTCCAGTTTTGTGGATATATTTTAACTCCTGCTGCTGCACTGTGACCAGAGGATGTGGAGAGAAAGACAGGGCCTGAGGTTACTGCATGTCAGGGACCGGGTCTAACCTACAAGCAGCCGGCCAGTGAAGCACCCTGGGGCAGAGAATGATCAGCTCATCAACTCTAGATTCCCCTGGAGCACAGTACCCGTTTGTGTTGACTGCTTGAGGCCAGCGTGTTTGCTGCATGTGATGTGTTGCTGGTTAATGGGTGGATAAACGATCCATGGTGTTATTGTCAGTGCTACGCTACCTGTTAGAATTAATTTCACTACTTTGGGACTATATGTGGTCATGTGGGGAAAGACTCAGTGACCACTGGTTGGATTTAGTGACCTTGGAGCTACTTGAAAGGGAGCGATGTTTTCACTACTCGGTGGCACTTAACATTAAGTTTAAAAAAACATGTTGCACGTCTGTTAATACCTTATTTCTGTAACAGAGAGAATTGTAAGGTTGGAGAAGTTACTATGTCTGCAATATACCAGTTAAAATATGGGGTTTCTCAACTACCCAGTTTGTTTAGAGTGTTCCACATCTCTTTTAATTGGTACATATGTCATTGTTTATCTATGGATGAGAAATTCAAATTAATTAATGCTGTTGCGGTTCATTGTACTGTTCATTTTTGACACAACACCAGCAGCAGGAGGTGTGCATGTTCACAAACTATCCTCTCGTTTTTAGGAAGAGACTCAGGTTTTATTGTTCTGAAATAATTACAGACTACTTGGAGTTATGATGTATGCAAAACTAATCTAGAGAGACCCTAGATTAAACACTAAATGGTTGGAAATGAGCAGAATGAGCATGCCATGAGCTCTTTAACTGAAAGGTTATTATAAGATAAAGTTTCTGCCTGGTGACAGCTGGAATTGTGATTGTAATGAGCTATCCTCTGAATTTCACTTCCTCCACTTCTCCTGGGAACCACATCACATTCGAAAATCTGACAGTGTGCACACATGCTCAACACACAAATACACACTGATCACACATCTCTCATGTACAAACACTCTCCTGATCATTGCAGACAAGGACTGCTGCCTGGGTACTCTGCTGGATCCTGCTGTGTTTGTTCAGTATTACTGCTGGCCCCATGAATGATTCAGCAGTACGTCTATACCACCGCATGTGCATGAGTGGAGAGGGAGGATGAGTTCACATGTGGTGTGTTTAAAGTGAGTCCAGCACCTCTTATCAGGAGCAGCCCTGGAAATGTTCCTGTCGTGCTGTCTCTCTTTCCTTCTGTCATGGCGGATCTCATCGCGCTCTCTGGCCTCACCGTCCTCGCCACCTGCCGCGTGAGACAGGGGAGATGGATGAGTTGAGAAAGGGATAGCAAAGACACAAAAAGAATGTTAAAAAAAAACACAAGGAGGGGAGTGGGAGGGAAATGATGTGAAATGGTGCAGTAAAAGTTCAGAAATGAAAAGAAACATGGAGATAGAGAAAACAGGACAGAAATGGGAAGACAGGGGTGAGAAAAGTAGATGGGAGTTGTAAGCATAGTTAGGGATAATAGTGAAAAAAAAAACATGGTACAGGAATGGAAGAGTTGTGAGGCAGGGGGTTGATACATAACAGAAGAGGAATATAAAATGAAGAGAAACTGTCATGTTTAGCAAACTTACAAAACAAAAAGCAAAACTGTTGCGTTAGAACAAAAAATGAAAAATGCCATTTTACTGTCTGGGTCAATAAGATGTGATACCTCAAAATGGTGATTCAAAGAGTATGTACAAAAATAGGACCTGCAGCATGGATTTCTCTTTAAAATACAGGGAAGCAAAAACGTTTCACAGCTTACTGGTCCTGTCAGCACAGGCTGGGTGTAAAATGCTGTCAACACTTGTGCTACTCATGGTTCAGATTTGAAACTGCCCGGAGCCCTGACAACCGAGTCTGCTCCACTTGCTCAGAAACCAGAAACCCGTAGATGCTTCACAGACACACAAGCTTGTCATATATGTTTGCAAATAACCATTTGGCATATGGACTTTTCTACTTCTTGGCCTCGACCTTCCAGACTCACCTTTGTCCCCGTGACTTTTGATCCCGGCCCTGCGGTCTCTAGCCATTTGGGCCAGCTCTCTCAGTTTCTCCTCCTTCTTCTCCTTCTCCTTCTGGGCCATCTTCTTCTCTACCTGGGCTCGCATCTCCACTGCCTCTCTGGCCTAAAGAAACACACAACAATTAAACAGGTTTGTTAAATGAAAGTAAATAAGTGCATGTTTTAGGCAGTGCAACAATTCTGAACAGTTGATCATATCAGAACAATGGTGCAGTACCTTTCTGTCAGCGATGTAGAGTGCCTCAGCCAGCTTGGCAAAGTTTTCATTGATATGAACAGTTTGTAACCCTCTACCATCTGCAGCCAAACGTTTGTCCAGAGGAATGGTGTATCCCTGAGAGGAATTAAGCACATCAAAAAGAAAAAAGGTGAAGAGAAAATAAATTAGTTGAGAGGAGAAAAAATGGACAATACAACAGGAACCACCATGACAAGACCTGGCATCCTAAGAATCACACAATTATGCAAGGGACCAAAAATAAAAAGTATGGATATTAGAGATGTAACAAGTCTAAACTGAAACTGAAAACCATGATACAATATCAAAAAAACAAAACAACAAAAACTTTATACCAGAAGATGGAATTGTGAATCAAATCCCAACACCTCCCATCTCCATAAGCCTAACCTACATCCTCCGCTGCCTTTTGAGCTCTCATTACATTAGTAACAAAACTCATTTTTCATTTCACAACACTAGATTTTATTCTATTTACAGACAGTGTTTAGTATTATTCTCTTTAGTATTCCAAATAGTGGATATACATACACTAAACTAATTATAATGACATGGAGTTTTGAAATACAAAAACGAAACATGTTGTAATGTGTCAAATTACTTTAGCGTTCTTCCAGTTGGAGATGCAGGGAGGAATCTTCCACTCTTGCTGCTCCTTGACTGTCATCTAAAGCAAAGAAAAAACAAAGGTCAAACAGAATATCTTTTGAGTTGCAATAAATGTCATGTTAAAAGTTATTAATGTAACATTAAAAGCAGAATGTTTTCACATTTACATTTCTCAAATGTGTAAAGCTGTAACTGTACCTTTCTGCTTGGAGAATGCATGACAGGCGCAGGAGGAGAAGGAGGTCCTCGAGGAATCTTCTTGTTAATCCTGAAACATTATAGACACTGTATTTATATAGCATAATAAAACTACAAATCTGAATTCTTCACACAGGAAAAAAAATGCATCATATCCTCATCAAGAAATGTAATAATGACTTTATCAACTGTGTTCCACAGCTGCACTAAACAGTGAAATTAGCATAATTTCAGTAACAAGATAGCAAATTGGCCTTTATAAATGGCTCCAGTGACTGCAATAAATATATATTTACTTACTTAAAACGTGGAGGCTCCATAGGGTCTTTCTGCATTTCCACCATGCGGATCACTCTCTGTTTGGCCCCTGAGTTAAAAGCCACTCCCTGCTGGGATGGGGTGTATCTTGAAGACAGAAAAAAATAAGAAATGTGTCATCAAGTGTACAACATTTACTCTCACACACAAATACAGAAGATATAAACAAAACGTGAAACTAATCAACAGGATGTAGTTGATAACACTGTATGTCATAACAAAGAATTTTTGTCATGGGTATCTTCAATCACACCCCATGTTAATGGTAGCATTATATGAACTGAGACTTAAAACAAGTCTATTCTTCCCATTTATTTCTCTTCTAAATAATGCAGAAATTTTAACAGTTTGAATACACACCTGATGTACTGTGCAGGAGCTTGTTTGTCTGCAGCTCTTACAGGCATGGCAGCAGCAATCTTTTGAGACACCTGCTTGTCCAGGGCAGCGCGAGTTTTCTCTGTAAGCTGCAGCGAACATGAAAAAAATGACCAAGTTTAGATGCAGACTATCAAATTTACCTACTCATAGCTCAGTAACCGAACATAAAATTATCGATGCCTGTCTATTTCTAATTGTGAACGAGGGAATATTCAACAATTTCACTTTAAGTTTACACAAGTCACTTAATTCAACAGACCAAATCCAGCTTTGATCAGACAGTGCCACCAGCTTTGTTTTTGCAGTAATAAATAGATACAAAGAGAACTGAATGCTTGAGGAAATAATCTGTGAGTAGTCAGATCTACAGTCCATGGAAAATCTCACAGCACTCTGCCTGTAACTCAGTTTGTCCATACATCACATTCCATCATGGCTTACTTCTTTTACAGCCTCTTCATCCGGCCTCTGTAGCTCTTTAGTCTCTTCATTCAGAACGTCCTTTGGAAGTAGGTCTGTGTACTTACTGAAGATCACCTGCAACAATGGAAGATAAGAAATTATTAGAAATGGCTAACTCACGAGGCAAACAACTCTTCACCTAATCAATTAAAAACATGACATGAACCATGGCTTTTGATGGTGTGTATCACAGTACTGTGTGTATACTGTAAATGAACAGGGACATATAAAACAATAAAACAACCATGAGCATTGATTTTATCTTAAAATAGTGTCAGCATATATGATGTTAATGATGGCATTTAAAACAAACTGGATTTTGTCAGGCCAGGACTCAGTAACTGAAACATGCAAGTGACTTGTATATAAATTCTTAATGAACTAAAAACATTCAGACCGAGCCTGGCCATACAATCTAATCATATCATCTAAGCTTAATATTTTTCAAGTTATGCACTGATACATTTTAAGTGTGTGTTGACAGTGTCCTTGCTCACAGCTGCAGCATTCATTGGTCAGTATACCTTATCCTTCCCCTGTCCTTGTCTAGCGATGGCATCATATTTAATCTTTCCTTCTGCATCCACCTGCACCGCCAGGGCATTGGATGTCTTCTTCTTCCTGCCCATCTCCACAGGAAACTGGACCACGTGGATCTCTGGAAAAGCTCCTCCATCTCCAAAGTCCTACAGAAACACATATTTTACAGTAAAGACATTTGGCCTTATGAAACTGCATGGCTTTAAGGCGTTTAGTATGCCATCCAGGTGTGGGGGAATCAGACAAGAAATATCCCAACCGCCACCAAACGTGTTTGAGATACTGTGTATCCCAAATAAACACAATTACCTCAAGTGAGCGAGGCACCCAACCTCTTCTTTGTCCATAAGGTGGTGGCTCTCTGCGGGACGAAACCAGGGCGGTGGAGTAGGATCTCTGAGCCCGGATCTTCTCCTCTGCCTCCAACTGATCCTGGGACAGCTGGGTCGGCGCCGGTAAAAAGCTGGACACACACAATTACGTGTTTAAGCCTCATCGGATTTGTGTAACCAGCGAAACCGCTGCAAACCCTAGCTAATGTTAGCCAACAGTGACAACCATTCCGTTATTTGTAAATGTGTAAACGGCTAAGTGTTCTAATTAATGAACAGTTAGGCCATCAGCACTGTTGCGATCTTAAACAGTCAATCTAACATGTACATCTGGCACACTATTAGTATTCTTTGGATTAAGTTAACTTGGATTTGAGAATGGTTGCGTGCTGCTAAGCTAGCTAGCTAATGCTAACGTTAGCTTACGACGCACAATTTCAGCTAACTTAGCTACCATTAGCTTTGATAAACACAACGAAAGGAGAGCAGAAACATCAATATGAATTGTTAAGCGCAACGTATACACTGTAGAACATAACTGAAACGATACATGACTACAATTTCGTTAATTAAAATAGGTTAAAAGGCCCTGTCGAGAGACTCACCTCGCCAGAGACATCTTCCTTTCTTCCTTAGCAATGAACTGGGCATGCGCGGTGACAGTACAGTAGATTTTGATGGACCTTTTCTGATAGTTTTTGCCTTCTAAAATAGTTTACTATTGATGTTACTGCTATTTGTCGTCTCTGGATTATTGACAATCTTGTTTTTTATTTTAAATTTAATATTCAACAACATGATATTTAGCTCTGGCAATGTAACATCAACATTTATAAAATAAAGCTTACAGAATTTGAATGACAGAATATAACAGAATAGAATAGACATAATAACCCAAGCCCAAAACTGTGTTTCTTCGAGTTCCAAGTGTGTTACTTACATATTTATTATAGCTTCCAACCCCAGGGGTACACAGTAGGCCCACTTGCATAATGTATAAGCTACTGCGAGTGAGAAATGCAGCTATCAACAGTAGGATAAGTGATATGGCTTTAAAGTTTGATTTAACAAAGCATTTTGGATTTATCTGCAATCTGATTCCTTTCCTAACTGACAAATTTCTTTGAGGAGTGTGTGATATTGACTTTGAGAATGTGTGGAGCCTGGTAAAATAGCTAACGAAGCAACATAGTGCAATCAGCATGTCACTCCTTCAAATCTTTGCTTACACACATGCTCTGAGCATTGCAGTATTTTATAAGCCATTCATTAATAATAATGAATAATAAGTTGTTTAATCATCACTTATCTACAAGAAGATATTATTCACAGACTGGATATCCATAAGATTGTAAGGGACTTTTTAAGTATAAAGATTTTTTTATTTTTATGTATTTACAGTATATACTTGTTAAGTATCCCAGTAAGCCATAACAGCATGACAGCGAGGTAATGGGTGGAAAATGTTCAGTATCTGAAGCAAGAAACAGAGTTACAGAGTTACTTTGTGTTTTTTGACAGGTCCTACCTAATATGAAGAAGTTTGTGAACAGTAGGATTGTGCTCGGGGTCTTAGTGTGAGATTTGGTGACAGCTGATAGAGGGGAATTGAAAGTGCATTACATGTTGAAATTTTCACAGTAAAAATCACAAACATGCTTGTGCTCATGATTCCCTTCAGCTGATAAATAACATACATGGTTTCTTATGAGTGAAGCTTTGATTGTATACATTGTAGGCATCTAAAATGAGGTTTGTTTGTGTCTGACTTGCTCCCTTTCTCCCCTTCTATGCTGATACAGTTATTTGGCTATCTACATCATTTCCATCCCTCTGTCTCCATTCCCTTCTCTTCTCTCTTCCTTCCTCTCCCTCTCTGTTTCTCTGAGGAGGAAGCAGTCTGTCAGTTTCTCATCAGAGACTTAATTTATTAATGTGACACAGGGTAAAAGGACACTTCAAATGAAATCAATCACCGTGTTGTGGCACAGGACATGAAAGCTTTTAATAAACCCAATCATCTGGGTGCTTCTCTCTTCAACCATGCCTTTGGCATTGAGGAGCTCTCTGCCATTCCATCTGCCCCCCTCCCTGTACTTACAGCAGGATGGAGTGGGCATTGTTTCATCACCAGAACTGGAATCACCCTCCAGACAGTGTGTAAGCAGTGCTTTAGATTTCTGAGTGTGTTTTTGAGAACAGAGGGAAATGTTTGAATTCAATTATTGGGAAAAATTAAACAATGATTGTGTCATAATTTTCAAACAGCGGAGTTATTCATTCATTGATTTCATATCTTTTGAATGAAATATATAATTTGTAGTTCAGTTCTCTGGAGTGGGATTTACCATCAAAAACAAGGGCTAAGGCCAGGGCTACTTCTCTTTGGTCCACAGACATATAGTGCAGGCAAAAGGTACTGAACAAGTAAAGTCATACAGGAGGAGACTTTCCCTGCAACAAAGAAGCAGTGGCCTTGTACTTTATTTATTGCTGTAGATCTTCAGCTTCTAGTGGAGTAGCAGGGAAAGCTTTTAAAGGGCTCCTACATTTGCCCTTGACAAGTCCCAAATTCTTCTGATAATAGGGGAATGGTTAAGTCCAACCAACAAACATTCACACACATTATGTATAGCTGACTCTTATCCCCCAAACTCCCACACCACAGCACCTGTTTGCAGAGACACTGTGTGCTTTCTTCTTGTTGTTTGTAAATTCTGATTTATGTCAAACATTAGCTGGACTACAGCTTGGCCCATCTTTTAGACCAGTCAGTGGTCAAGAGGCAAAAGTAAAGATATCATGTTGAAATACTGAAATGGAAAGTGGAGCAACCTCCATGACTTTAGTATAACAAAGAAATAAAATAAGCATGTTCTGGTCTAGTTTTGTGAATACAGATCTGAACCAGTAAAAAGTCATTCTACTGTACATGTTTGCAGCAATTCCTAATTATTGCATGTAGTGTATTCTCTTGTGCAATATTGCATATGTCTCCTACACAGAGGGGAAATGTGCACAGTGAACACAACAAGTAACGTGTGGTAGCTGACACAAAAACATATGTACTGTTGATAGTACTCTTTTTTCAGAACTGGGCAATTACTGCAAGATGGTAGATGGTCTCAGCTACTTGTCCCCATCCTCTTCCCATTATAGATCCCCCCAGGCCGTTGCCAGACAGAAGTATAGAACAGTAAGCTGAGGGCACTTTTGAAAAAACCGAGCACTGTGCCTACACTGTGGTGGATGGAGCACTGATGGTGTTTGTCCAGTATCCAGAGAGTCGCCCTTCTTTCATCCACTGAAATCACTGCATAGCCTCAGAGACAGTTGTTAAACAATACAGTGGTAGATGTGTACCACTGGTGGTGGAATTATTTCTAATATGGTGCTGAAAATGAGTCAGAAAACCAGGACAATGTACTGATATTTTCTTTTATCATCATCTATAATTCTAACCATATTATAGATTGTTTTTGTGATCAGCTGTACCCCTATCTTTGTTTCATAATCTTTGTAGAAAAAATGTTGGGAATACAAGTTTACTGCTTTTTCCCAGCATACAGCATCTCATGCTCCCAATGAACACCCTGCCCACCTCAGATGTTCATGCTGTTCAAATAAATTCAGTCAAAAAGACAAACACAGGGATACACAGAGTGTTTGTAAATTCATCAGTTGTGGAAATCAAAAGAGAGTTTCTGTTCCGCTCCTTGGCTTTTGTAGGGGAGTTTGTTCTCAAAGCTGAGCTCCTCCCTGTCGGAAATGATTCATGTCACAATTAATAGCAGGTAAATACTGGGAGGAGGATGGGAAAATAGAAAAAAGAGAGAGATGTGGAGAGAAAGCAAGAGACTGGCTGCTTATGGTGAGTGAATGAAAAATGAAAACAACTCAAAGTGGGCTGTCTCTGTAGAAACAGACAGCAGTTCCCAGTAGTCATGCACACACACACATGCACACATATACAGTATATATAGGCATGCATGTATAATATGCATACATGCACACAAATTGAGAAAATTCAGGGGACATTTGCCACATGAGGCACAACACTTTCGACAAAGAATCAATGCAACAGTGGCACTTTGTTTACTCACTGCAGTCCTCCACCTAATAATATAATATAGCTTCTTTACTGTGTGCCTCCTTAGATTATAAATGGCAGAGAGATGGTCTTGGATTAAGTCTATGTCTATTCTCTCCTTACCTGTCAAATATGGTTACACAATAAATGCCATTACTGTTCCCCTCTGCGGCTGCTTTGATGAAGGCAATCAGTTTGGATTACATGGATGTGTGTTCCTGTATACTGGGCAAAGCATTGTTCATAAATCCAGGAGACGGATATTGAGAGCTATGCGCTTGTTTGTTATCTTTGACTTTTCATTAGTGCTCACAAACTGTCTTTCTCTATTACTTATACATTTTTCGATTACAATTAGAGTATAGGTGATAAAGATATACACCAAAGGGCAAAAAAAGGCAACGGACACAAAAAAATACTCACAGAAAGGCTACGAGAAACAGGCCGTGAGAAGCTGTAAGTTGTTTTAATGGTTGCAGCACCAGGATGGAGACCAGAGATAGACAAGGCCAAACAAGGTCAGCAGAGGGCATATGCAGTTCAGGAGAGCTAAATAAACTACAGGCACTGCCAGTGGAGTCTTTAATTTGAAGGAAGGAGAGCAGGTGAGGAGGAAGAGGAGGTAGGGTTGACGTTTTGGCGTAACACACCGTAAGGTAAAAATGTTACTTTGCATCACTGTGTCCCAGTATTTATTCAATCGAAATTTATTTCACTGAGTTGTTTAATTAATTAAGATATGCCTACATTTATCTTATGGACATAATTAGGTCATAAGAATGGATGATTACGTCTGCAGCAGAATCAGGGATTAAGTGTTAATGGCTGTGTAGTTTAAGCATTGATGCAATCAACATAAACACATTGACATATCACATATCATATATCAGTTTCTGTGAGGACATGTGTGTGTCCATTAAGACTGTCTGCACATACAATAACAAATAACCTTGGTTCACAGTGAAGCTCAAACAGCTTCATCATGTCAAGAGGAGGCCTATAGGAGTGGGGATAGGACTCTGTATAACCAGGCTAGAAACACAATGACAAAGGAGATCAGAGTAGCAAAAAGGACGAGTAGCTACTCAGAAAGGCCGAAAAATCTGTCGGGCCAATGAGCTGTCATCAGTGTGGAGGAGCCTATGGGACATCACTGAGTACATGAGACACCCCCCACCCCCTGCTGTGGTGAGCTACCTTTGAGAGGCAGAACTCTCTATACCTCTCTCTCACCTCATCTTGGACCCGCAACCAGTAGTTGCTTCCTCTAGGACCACTTCTCCCCCATCAGCCCACCACCTCTGAGGATCTGTGAAAGAGAAAGAGATGTGTTTTGCCTTTTTCAGAAAACAAAAGATCAGAAAGGTTACCAGCCCAGACAATGTGACACCATCCTGTCTGTAAGTCCAAGATGACCAGTTGGCTCCAATCATCACACAGATCTTCAATAGATCACTGGAGCCTTGTGTAGTTTCCTCCTGTTTTAAACACTCCACCATCATCCGAGTTCCCAAGAAACCCTCCATCAGGGAACTGAACCTGTCTCCCTGACATCTGTAGTCATGAAGTGTTTTGAGAGACTGGTATTGGCCCACCTGAAGGCAATCACAG